CTGGTATGCCTGTTGGGCTGCCACGGCAGGCTGTCCGAGGTTGACCGGATATAGGTTCGGGTGGGCCGGGGGAGCCGCTAGTTGCGGCTGTCTTTGTCCCGGCAAGAAGTTCTGCCCTGCGTAAGGTAGCGGCTGCCGAACGCCGTTCTGGCCCAACCACATTCCGAGTGGAGCTGCCGCTAGGTTCATGTTGGGCTCGGCTACCTGACCTATTGGGTCTCGGTAAGCCGAGCCATTTGGGTTCTCGCGCCTTTCTTCCTCGGGTGCAGCGGGAGCCGTTATTGGGGCTACGTTCCGCGACAATGCCTGACGTCTGTCGGAGCTCGGGTTCACCGAGTCAGGTTGCGCGGCACCCGGTATGGGGTTCGGCTGCGGCCTGAGTTCCCTTCCAGAGACGCTGTTGACCCGGCCGGGTCCGGGTGTCCGGATATACGGACCGAGTACCGAGCTCTCTTGTGAGCTATCCGGGCGATGTCCGATTGTGGTCGATCCGACGGGCCCAGTACCGGTTAAGAATGCCACATTTGCGGGCATTCCTCCGGGGGCCATGGTTGTCGTCGCTATGGGTTGGGTTGGCACTTTTAGTCGGGCGGTTAAAGTGTTCCGTTCCGGCTCCGTAGCTGATGGTGCTGTCGGCGGAGTACCTGTTAACGGATCCATCCGGGCCATCCCGACCTGGTAGGTCTGGTTTGTGGATATCCTTAACTGACCTATTGGGTTCAGTTCAGGATTGTACCGGCACAGTAAGTTCTGCAGTTGTCCGTGTTGCTCCTGCGATGTCCGGTATGACGGGGTGGCTTAGCCGCAAGCTTCTCCAAAACGATCTTTTCTGCTGTAAAGCGTTCGATCTCGGCATCCAAAAGGTCATTCTCCCGGTTCAGTTCGACGACCTTGTGAGAAGCTTCAATGCCGTACTGAAGAAGTTCTTCCAACCGAGCCTTTTCGGTTTCCAGCCGGTCAATGTGGTTTCGTTGGGCCTCAATGACCTTTTCAGCCTCTTTATAGCTGAATTTCAGGTGGGTGCGGGCATCAGCCTCGTTGTCCAGCTCTAACTGGAGCTCGGCAACGGTAGTATCTGCATTCTGCAGTGCCTGGCTGAGCTGGTCATTTTCGTCCCGTAAGGTCGCGGCCCGGGTGTCCGCTCGGTTCACCATGGCCATTAAATGGGTTGACCGCTGCTCCAGTTCTTGGTGCAGGGCTTCCACTTCGGCCCGAGACTGATCCAACATTTCTTTAAGTCGGGTAACCTCGGTCAAGTCGGTCCCGGGTAAAGGTTCGGTTACAGCGTGTGAGTGTCCGTATACCGAGGGTAGGGGTCCGGGTACCGAGGGTAAGGGTCCAATAACCTGGGTTGCCCCGGTTTCGGCCGGTGAGATCCGGTTTTTGACCGGAGAAACGGCGTTTTTCGCCTGAAAAGTGGGGGTCACAGACCGGGTTTTCGGAGTCCCAACCTGTTGGGTCAGGGTCCGGACCCCTGGGTTAGGGGTCTCAACCGGCTGCAATGTCCCTGAAGACGACTTTTGGCTTCCCAAGTTGGCCTCGGTGAGTCCAAGGTCCGAGTTGGGGTCCCGGTCCGGGGCTTCGGGTCCGGTGACTTCCCCTCCAGGGTTCCTGGGGTCCGTTTCTAGTCCGGGGACGTTGATTTCCGGGTATTGCCCGGAAACTTAGGGTTTTCAACCGAGGATACCGGGGTTTTGTCCGGTGAACCCGCCTTGTGGGTCACCTCCCGGGTTTTCGGGGTGTCGACCTGTCGGGTCGGGGTCCGAGCCCCGGTGTTAGGGGTCTTAGCCGGATGCAGTGTCACCGATGACGACTTTTGGCTTCCCGAAGTCGGCCTCGGTGAGTCCAAGGTCCGAGTTGGGGTCCCGGTCCGGGGCTTCGGGTCCGGTGACGTCACCTCCGGGGTCCCTGGGGTCCGTTTCTGGTCCGGGGACGTTGATTTCCGGGTATTGCCCGGAGACTTAGGGTTTCCAACCGGGGATACCGGGGTTTTGTCCGGTAAACTTACCTTGTGGGTCACCTCCCGGGCCGGCGGAACCTTCCCTCCGGTCTGGTTAGGGCTTATTGGGGTTTGCCTCGGGTCCATTCTGGATCCCATGCCCCCCTGTTGGGGTGGCACCGGGTCACCCATGTCCAGTGACACCGCGGCCCTACCTAGTGCAGGGTCCGAGACTCCTCTGTCCGAGGAAATCACCGGGAACGTAGTCGGCATGGCACCTATTGGGCGCCAATGTCCAGCTGCAGGCTCCGGGTTCACTGTATTCTGGCCTGTTGGGCCATACAGGACCTCCGGTTTATCTTGGGGCGACTCCAGGAACGCCCGGTTCTGAGCGTCCTCGAAGCTTTCCTCCGGCGATTGGGTCAGACCGGCTCCAAGGATCCGCTGATCTCGCTTCTCCCTTACCGAGCTGGTCGATTTGTCCGATTTGTTGGACTTGTTCGACCGGTTGAAGTCCGATGATTTAGGCTCTGGTTTGCTGGGCCGGCGTAGCGGAAAGTGTACCCACCAGCCTGGTCACGTCGGGCGTAACCCTGGTCGAACTTCCGAGCTATGACGTCACACTACTAAGTGGTCTTGCGGATTACTGCCTACGTCACGATTCTGCGCGCCCCGTGCAAATTTCCAAAAAACAGTGACTCACTACGGGCTTATAACATAGGGATTCTCCCCACGATTCTGATTGGTCAATCTTAAGTATGGTAAATCGGCCGTAGTGACGTCACAATTATTTTTAAATTTGATTTAATTATTTCTGCCGTGGGAAATTCGGCGAAAAATCCGGAAAAATTAAGAAAATTTATTTTTCACCGGCCAAAATTTATTTCAGCCGGGGAAATTAGTTCCCTTAATTTTTCGAAAATTAAGAAAGGTTGAAAACCGAGGTTCTAAGGGTCTTCACCGAGGCTCGAGGGTCCGACCTAGTAAGGCTGGCTAACCCTATTTTACCCGTCAAAAGATGTTTTTAAGCCCGTTTATCCGGGTGAAAAAGGTTTTTAGCAGAAGGAAACTAGTTTTCGTCGGTAAAAATGAAAATTGCCCGGTTATATCGGGTTCTTATGGCTCTACAAGGGTCTGAAAGACCTGTTTACCAGGTGGGCACGGGTCGGATGCCGTCCGTCCAGGTCAGTCCGCCGGATTCTCCGGTTGAAAACGTCCCGCTCGCGTTGGTAAAGTTGCGGGTGCGACTTAACGCAATGGCGACCCCGATTGTTGAATGCTGAGAGGGTTCCGTCCGAAGTTGTAGTCCGAGGATCCGCAGGATCGTTCCATCCGCCGATCTACCCGGGCCAAGTCGTTCCGCTGGCCGAAAGCGCAAGATCGTTCCGTCCGCGCGAGAGAGGAGAGTCTGCTGAGTCGTTCTGCCCGACGTCTGCACAAGGATCGTTCCGCCCGCGCTGGCGACGAGGGTCCGCTGAGTCGTTCCGCTCGCGGTCCCGCAAGAGAGAGAAACCAACCGCTCTGGCTGGCGGCGATCAGATGGGGATGGGAACCGGGTTACGGTTCTCCCCTGTCTTCTCGTCGGCCGTTACGGAAGCTATTCTACACCGTCTCTCAAAAAGATTCCACAGAAGGAAAACCAGGATCTGCTATCATATCAGCAGCACAACACAGAGGGCTCACGATAGTGAGTAATGAGGCTTTATTGTGTACAGCAGTAAAGCATGGGCATAACGCATGGCAAGTGGCCAGCGTAAGAGAAAATCATGACTAAACTGGAATGAGCGGCTGAATGAGCCGTAACATAGAAAATGCCTATCTGCGGCACTGGGCAAATCCAACACGAGCGAACGAACGCTGATTGGCCGAGACGTAAAGCCGTAGGTGTGGCAAGGCGTAGCTGAGCCTGAGTCGAGGCCGATACGGCGTACGATAGCGAGTGCGACTCCGTGTGTGAGTCAGCACACCGGAAGCAGGGCTGTCGCTGGCTGCCATCTCGTAGGCTGCCATAGCGACCGGCCTGACACAACTTCGACTTCCCACCTGTTTCGCCGCCTCACTAATTTATCTCACGTTCGTGTTTCGGGTAGAGCGGTTGTTTCTTGTTTTTTTACTGTAAGGAACTGCCATATTCTAGCAACCATGTTTGGCCAGTACTCGGAATAACTGAGCCTTCGCACGAATAATTCTCGTGAAATCCGCAAGACCGGTTTTTGAAATCAAATTCCTTTTCAACGCTTTAAAAAATCTTCTGGTGCCATCTTGTTTCTGCAAGAGCAATGTCTTAGCTACATTTTAAAGTAAAACCAGCATTTCTTGTTGCGACCTTACAGGCAGCCGAAAATTTTAACGAAAAATGCTCATAAAAATCAAATTAAAAACAGTCATTTTTTGGGAAAGTCGCAAAATGCCCTTACCGCATAACTCGTCTAGCGCATGGAGTATGTCAGCAACTATTTTTATATTAAAAGATGATGTATTTCTCTAGACAGTGTAGTTGAAGATACCCAAAAAGTCCGTACGGAAAAGAAATGCCACGATATTCTAAGTTTGAAAAGCTGGGACACGAAAAATTTACACACGCTTTTAATTTGTATCATTGTAAACTATCACGGCTTAAGTATTTCAAGAACGTTTTGGTGATTTTATTAGTTAATAAAATTCTCTTTCGAAAGAGCCTTAACAAGTTACAGTCCGACCACAAGCCCGCGAGAAACAAACCAAAACAGGAGACCGCCATTTTCTTCAGCCACCCGGTACATGTCAGGATGTCCCGTATCTCAATTTTAAACAGCAGCGCGTACCACTTGCTGCGAGTATATGTTCCGTTACTTCCGTATTTCAAGAAATATCTGTACATAGTCATCTGAACGGGAAATGAGCACCCTTAGAAATTTGGGGAAAAAATGGATTTTTAACTTTTAATCGATTCCTTCTACAAAGACTGCGTACACGTAATAACTGAACAAATGATAGTGGCAAGTGTGCACCAGTCTACTACAACCACGCAAAATAATGGTATGGCTTTTTCAGATTATAAATTGTTTAGGACTGCAAAGTAACAATTTTCAGTAATGTAAACACATCTTGTTTGGTGAGCACTTAACACAACAAAACAACGGTTTTTCTTTTTGCATTAAAATAATAGTAAATGACACTCATTATGCACAGGTGGCAACGCAAAACAATTCAAGCCCGGTCAGCGGCATCCAGGGGACGTTTCCTAGTGGAGGCACGTTTGGCTTGTCTCCACGCGTCCACGTGAAAATGCTCCAAGGACATCTGACAGAATTCAGCCTGTTGTTCTTCGCCGTTGATCGTGATCATGTGGGAGCCCTCTTCTAATCTGGTATACTGTGCATTCGTCTTATGAACATACCCGATACGAGACCGATAAAGAATGTCCTGATCGGCCACCAAAAAGGTTGATGCGCGAATTATTTTTGCCAGCTCCTGTTTCTCGACGCATCTTTCAGCATACTTCAAAGACTCACACATAATTTTAGACCCGTGCGCTCCGATAACTAGAGCAGGATGCCAGCTGGAAGAAAATGAATCTTCTACGAATATTTCCTCTTTGTGTCTGAACTCCGCATCTCCGGCATGGATGGCGGGTGGCCGACGGAGCTGCGTGGGAAAGCTTAGCGGGCGTTTTGTCGTGGCGTGCTTGTAGAAGTAGATCTCCGTTAAATCTTGTGGTAGCAACAGCAGATCCTGCACAACGCGCATATTAATGAGCAGCATTCAACTAGTTTTACAAAAATTCTATTAACTGCATACTTCGAGCGCCATGCTCAGTTTCCCAAACTGTTTGTTATCCAGGGACTCTCCTCATAAAAAAATCGAAAGTTAAGCACAGGGAGCACAGCTGCTTGCGAATTCTACCCCAGCGTACACCGACTGGGATTTTCTTCAATGTTTTCGAATCATTCTGGGCTGTTACTTTGTTTCTTTACTTCTAAACCTTGTGGTGGTGTGAATGAAATCAGTACTCGTACTCTAGATAAACTGTTTTGCTACAGTATATTGGTAAGTCAGCCAACGAGTGGGGGAAAGCTCGAATGTACGAGCTCGTACTTATAAATAATTGTGTAATCATATAGGAAAAGTTAACAGACCCTGCAATTTGTTTATCAGATGTAACAATTAAGCTACAGCGACTTACATTCAGGGGACCATCAGCGAGCTGAGTATCAGTCATCAACGGGAATCTGATAAGGAAAAACATGTCTCCTAGAACCAGGCGCCGGTTTTTCGGTGTAGGTTCCAAATTGCTCCGAGTACAGAAAGCCGAAACCCATCTACAAAGAGGGAAACATGCAGAATAAAAATTAATACATTTACATGTCAACAGTTATATAGAAATCTTGTTCTGATAACGTATACGGGATGTAACAATAGTAAAAACTGTTGCTATAGGACGGCGATGAACTTTACACGGCGCTGCTTATGCTGTCCCCAGCGGTTTCCAAGAAATGGACCCCGTGATTCTATTCACCTATTCACGGCCATGTAAACGCTATTCTCCTCGACAAACAGAGTGTCGCGCTCCAGTATCATCTGCAGTGTCTTGGGTTGTAGTTCAGTGAAGCGTTCCGACTGGAAGATCTCCGCACAGTGTACATCCACAAAGTGCAAACAATTTTCGACGACACCTTCGATACCCACAGCCCACGTCAGCGCCTACACAAAAATTAAGGAGAACCCAGCAGAGATCAATCATTATTGCACAATGAAATGTTCGTATTATGAGCATAACGTACGTTTTCCAGATGCTGTAGGTAATGGTTAGCATCGCGATTCTCTGCACCGAGATCATCAATGATACAGATCAGGGAGCTGTCAGCCAACTCTGGCAAGTCGTATTTATCAGCGCACTTCAACGTAGGGTATGCATCTTTCGCTGTTACGTTAACTTCATCGGCATAAATGTATCTACGACGATGGAAACGATTTATATTCTCAGTAGACAAGCAACCGATAACGGCAGTCTTACCTTAACATATTATCAAAGGCTTCAGGAAGAATGTCCGGAATGTCGACAGGACCGTCGCATTTCTCCGGCAGGCTGCCGTTGAACATGGTGTAGAAGACATCGCTGCCGCTGCTTAACACGCACCTAGTGACCATCAAAGATATGCGTTTCTGACACAGGCAAAATGAGTGGGATTGTGGATCGTTGTGAAATTTCGGCTAACTTATGTCCTCGGAAGATCTTGGCTGGCCCGTAATGTCGCCCTACGGAGAACTGCACATCGGCCGAATCCCCACTTTCTAACATCCGCTCCAAGCGCTCCTGAACACTGCAAAGCGTGCCCCGACGTTGGGCGCGGCTCTCTGACGGGGATGATGCAGTCTGAGACATCGGGTAAGCCTAGAAGTTTAGAACCCTCCTAACCCCAAGTCTTGCTAGGTAATTACTAATTAGTCGCACGACTCGCACCAGTTAAATACAGGAATCAAAAGTTCCTGATTTGAGCTATTGCTACCAAGCACTCGTCAGACGGTAAGTATAACCACAACACCAAGATAGTATCGAATGCAGATGTTGAAAATTCAGCAGACTGTTGGCCGCCGAAAATTCTAAAGGAGAAACTACTGAAAGTCTGAAACAGTAAATGGTAAATCACAACACGACGAACTCAAGGTAACTGTCACAGAGACTGGTAATACATAGAGAGGACGCACAATACTTTGCAAGTGATTCAGTTTTCCATGCAGATTAAGACCCCCTGTCGTTGGCCTACCACCACGAACGGCGGTTGTATCTCAAAATGTGGTGAATACAGCCAATCCATGCAGCAAAACAGGATTGTGCGGATTGGTTACATCTGGATAACCAACCACAATTGCGCATTAACGTTAAAACAGCCAATCCATATGGCCAAAAAGTGGCACTTTTGCCAATGATATTCGTGTTCGAAGCGGGGGTCTTAAGCTGAACGGCGCAGCGGAACGCTGCATTACATGCGATCCGATTGACATAGCCTCTCTATGTATTACCAGTCTCTGTGTAACTGTTATTACGATGATACGAGCTGTAGTATAAGCGAACAGTCAGCCAGCTGCAAAACCAAAACATTTGGTCAGTTTGCCGTCTCTGAGAGGCTGCACGTATGACACAAGAGTTTCAAACCGATCGCCCGCGACTGCAGCTCTGTACATTTTTCCAACGCGCCTAATTTATTGTCTCAACAGTTTCGTATATTCTCGTTCTCAGCTGTAATCAAACAACTTCCCCGTTGAAGTCATTTTTATCACAAAAGCACAATTCTAAAAGGAGTCTATAATAATAACACTAAACCTAACTTTATTTCGCCACACCCCGAACCGACAACAGCATCCTGACATTTCGGCACGCTAGATAAGATAAGCGGCATCATTGAGCGTTTTGAGTGACGTTTTCGCATGACAGCTCCCTGCGTGGATGTTTCCCGTGTCATTCAACGCCTGTGCCTTTTGCCACGCTTTGACTTTCTAGCAAACCTGGGTCCACGCTATCCGTTCTTTGCCAGCTATATCGGTAACGTGAGAGCGACCATCTCGCGTTTTATACGTTGCCCCGAATAGAACAACCACAGTATTTGTAGAAATCATCATAGTACGTAGGAAACGAAAATATAAATCACGATCACGTGAATTCATCCAAAAATGGGCTGATCGTCATTTCATCCCAAAAAATGGGACCCCATATATGACGGCCGCCATGCGACCACAGGATCTCTTGCCCACAGATTGGAATGTCTGAAGCCAGAAGATGTTTAGTTAAATAGCTCGTTCTGAATACTGTATGACGATTTTACAATCAAAACTTCATGTTAAGCTTATCAGTGCAGTTTATGATCACCGGCTTTATTTCCGGTCCATAAAGTATTAGCAAGGTAATTAATACAGTGTGCAAAGCTCGCATACGGCACTAAGGTTCATTTTCGCTTACTTGCAAATTAACATCATTCATCGCTACGAACAACTGGATCATTTCAATTATAAAACAGAATCGAAAAAATGCGAGTAAAATAACTCCGAAATGCTTTTTCCACAAGTACGGACGACCGACATAACCATGAGTCCACGACATGTCTGCAAATGTAATACAGTAGCAGTCAGCTGGTCAGGCAAGATTAGCCGCATCCAGTGAGCGTTTCCGCGTGGCATCTCCCGATGTATTCCTCTCGGCGCTCTCCTCCTGCGCTCTTTTCCACGCTTCCACTGAATCGCATTTAATAGCAATATCCCCGAACAACACCACCCGCTCGGTTCCCAACACATTGACACGGTGGCCTCCCAAATGTCGCATCTTGTACGTTACCTCCACATAGCGGCCTCGAAGACTGGGAGCAGACCACAGAATTTTTTGTCCACTGGCCAGAATGTCCGAGGCCCGAACAAACTTCTCCGCTGCGGTCACCACGGTCTGCTTTGAATACGGAAGCTGACAGACAACGCCTAGTCCACGCACCCCGACCACGTGGGCCGGTGACCAGTGCTGACTTCTCTCCACGAAAATTTCCTCTTGCTCCCGGAATGCCATATCGCCGACACGGATGATCGGGAAGTTTCGGGACTGCGTGGTGAAGCGCAGTTGTCCTTTCACTGTGGCAGCATGCCGGTAAAGGTAGATTTCCAATACTTCGGAGGGTAGCAGCAGACCACTCTACACAGACAAACCAAACGCGTTGCCGCTTACGGGAAGCGGAGGGTAGGCAGTTAAGGTTATTCTTTCATTGGAGCGTTGAAATAGACGCCAAATTCAATCATTTTGACGTTTTTCGCGTTCCGGGCATTTTCACAAAATGGATTCTCTTACCGGGTATCAGAGACACGATGCTCTCCACGTTGTTCACATGAAAAAACTGCTCAAAATTACGATAACTAATAATTATTGGTTATTTGGTTTTATACGTTTTTACAAGAGATTTATCAAGTTTTCGAATGTCTGTAGTGGCCGGTGATAATATGTCTGGAAGCCGAAAAACAACGTCAAAGAATACTCATGCATAAGCCCTATGCGGGACATAGATAACCGGGAATTCAATTTGTTTCGGACACATGACCGTGAGTTTGAGTCTGCAACCAGGACTTACACCAGCGGGACCATCCGCCAGTTGAGCGTCCGTCATCAGCGGGAAACGGATCAGGTAAAGGATGTCACCCAGCACTTGGCGCCGGTTGTTCACCGACGGCTCCAGATTATCACGGGTGCAGGCAGCCACCGCCCATCTGCAGATGAGACAGTTCGGAATTTAACGGTAATGAATACTCAATGAACACTTCGCAGACAGTTCTGTATAGATTGGGCTACAAAGGTCTCATCCCGAATGTATCCCCCAACTTTTGGAAAATTCGAGTTTACCGACTTACGTATCAACCGCGGCATAGATGACATTTTCATGCACAGAAAGAGTATCCCGTTCAACAATTTTTCGCACTGTGGTGTGCTTCAGCTGCGTGAATTGTTCCGATTGGAGAACCTCTTCACAGTGCATATCCACGAAGTGCAGGCAATTCTCCACCATACTGTTATCGGTATGAACAGGCCAAGCCAGTGCCTACGACGAACAAACCGAACTGAACCAGTGCGCACTGAGAGCGTGGAGGAGAGACGAACATTCTCTGCGTGTAGCAGACAGTTGCTAATTCGGAGATCTTTGAAGACGAAGTCGCAGCAACGATCAACCAGCCGCGGCAGATCGTATTTATCCGCACATTGCATCGTGGGGAAAACGTCGTCTGTAGTCACAACAATCGATTCCGTGTAGATGAATCTAAAATACACAATATACGAGTAGTCTTTAAATTGCGCGTGGAATTAAATCCATGCAGGCGTTCAGATGTGCCGACTACTTAGCGTGTGCCCATCGTACTCGCGCATCCTCTGAAAGGCGGCGGGAGGAACATCAGGAATGTCGATCGGAGCGGCACACTTCTCGGGTAAGCTCCCGCAAAACATGGTGTGGAACACATCGCTGCTGCTACTTAGCATATACCTGCAAGTTCCCCAACAGCGAACCATTGCGGAGCATAAACATTCCTTCGAGGTAGAAAACATGCCGCTATACCGACTTCAAGTATTCTTACTTGTGCACTCGAAAAGTCTTAGCTGACCCGAAGTGTCGTCCTATTTCAAACTGCACATCGGACAAATCACCACTTTCCAGCATGCGTTGCATACGGTCCGCGGGTCCAAGTGCACCTCGCCGTTGCGAACTGGCGGCTCCATTAGAAGAAGTCGAACTTTCCGACATCCTGAATTCAATAAATCATTAGGTCAACCAGTAGAAATTCAGATATGAACAGGATTTTCAATGGTAGAAGAACTAACGCCGATCTAAACGCACAACACTCCGAAAACACACCAGAACGGAAAAAGTAGACACAGCCTTCAAGCTTGTTTTGAGGGTTTGAGGCAACAGCAGCGAAAGCCAAACAAGTCAAACATGTTATCATACCGCCGTTTCTGGTGGGCTGCATGAATGATACAGGAGCATCGGAATGGTCACCATCGGCTGCAACTCTGACTGTTTTTCAAAGGCGCCAAATCGTTGTACGAGTATGTTATTTGTTGGAAAATATTAAACAAAGTTAATAAACCAATTATTGTATACATCACTCAAACTGCCAGCCATTTGGATACTTACTTCATTGAAAAGGCTATTTTAGGTTGTTTCAGGAAGTCTGCTTGACTAAGCCTGCCGGAAAAGTGATGTTCATCGAAAGCTATTTATTCCCGACTACGGCTTCGTGCGAGTTGGAGTGGCGGCGGCTGGAGTGTGTCCGTTAACTGCTGGAGATACAGGGCGTTCCGCTTCCGTGCTGCGTCAAGTTCAGGCAAGACATACCGACGATGCTGCAACTAGCGTCGGAAAACTGCTGGATTTTGGAACTGGGAAAGCGGCGTGCAGATTTCCACTCGTAAACCGGCTTTGTAGAGCATGACAGCCGCCTGCAGGCGCTTGCTGCTCACCAAATTGGGCTCGTCTACAGTGACTCTACAGTCTACACGTTCCACCGTCAGCCGTTTGTTTGACTGCACGTCGACGGTGTTGTTAAAAAATACAAATATAGGTTGTCTTTGAAGTCGAACTGAATTTGCCTGTTTGATTGAAATTTCCGCATTTTGATTTGTGTGACAAGTGCTTCCACTATGTGCCTTAATTCACCCGCGGATACCAGCAACACGGCTGGTACAGCTACATTCACTAGCAGAACTGTAGAACGCCGTAGCGCTGTTGGAGTGCTCGCTGATCGCATGAAGGACTTGTTGGCCAACAGAGACTTCAGCGATGTGCAGTTCGTGGTGGGAGTCCAATTCGGTCCCGAGAAAATATTCCCCGCGCACAAGTACGTAATTAGGAACTGGTTACAATCTATGCGCTTGACTGTGATCCACTAAGACTTAAGCGTATCCAAAGCTGTGTTTTCGGATGTGTGATTACGTGATGATGATGATGGGGTGATATGTGTGGGATGTGTGATGAGGTTGGCTGTTTTTCCAGGAGCATCCTATGCAGCAGCAGTGGTGTATTCTACAATATGATTTGCAACAGCGTGGCTGAAACGTGCTCACTGATTATTCATTTTCCGGACATTCCTTCCGACGCGTTCGCCAGTCTGCTCAGTTATGTGTACACTGATTCCGTGGAAAACATCAATGCGGACAACGTCTTCCCGACTCTGCAGTGTGCTGATAAATTTGCTATGCCGTTCTTGGCGGACACCTGTTGCGCCTTCATCATCCAGCACGTGAATGCAGACAACTGCCTGACCATGCTGGAAAATGTTGGTTTTATTCCAGACAGTGAATTTAGAAGAAAATATGCATTTTATGGTGTTTGTTTCACAGGCCATCCGTTGGAGTCCCGATCGCGATAGCATCCCGGAGAAATGCCTTGAGATTGTGGAAGCTTCCGGCGACACTATTCTGCAATCGGAGCTGTTCAGTAGCATCGGGCACGATAGTCTGCAGATGATTCTGCAGCGTTCATCTCTTTCCGCTGACGAGAATACTGTCTACTTGGCCGTTGAAAAGTAAGGACAGTTCATAATTCATATATAGTATCGATTAAGCAAATATTCATTAGTAGCTGTTTGTTCCTCTTGTTGAATTCCAAGCCAAATACAGTGCCCATGGGAGCGCACTTCCGTTCTGTCCTCCAGTAAATAATTAACATTCCTGTACGTCCTGCAAAGCGGCTGTGGCTTTCCTGTTAATTGTCGATAGTTTTTGAGCAAGAAAATTTTGCCGAAGGAAGCCGTAAAAGAATATCATCAGGAAATGCATGAGTGACAACTTTACAGATGAAAATATAGCAGTACGCTGCCACACCCGGGAATTCCATTGCTTTAGAGCTCAAGCGCCGGAAGTCACTGATTTCTTCCTTGCAATTTTTTATTCATATTTTTTCTTGAAATATAAACGAAGTTTTATGCAAAAGAGAATAATAACAGGCAAACTGGCGAGGATTGCCTGAATAGCGTTAGAAAACTGCGCTTGGATATTTGTCTTGTAATCGCGGTGGACATTATGCCATACTATGTCATAATGTCCACCGCAATGACAAGTCCGCCTACTTTTTTTTACAGGTGGGCTGGAAAGGCTTGCGAGAAACGCAACTTGGGGCCGTCTGCCGCCAACCGACGCGAAGTGTTGGGAGCAGCGCTCTTCCTGGTTCGCTTTCCGCTCTAAAGCGATGCAGAACTGGCAGTTGGCCCGATTAAGGTAAATTAAACGGTTAGTTTTGGGATTTAAGCAGGGAACAGATTAGGACTGATTATTTCCGCTGAGGCGGCGCTACACGACTGCTCATAGGCAAAAGCAACCCAAGACTGCGCATCTGTGGCTTCCGCGGCCCACTGCAGTCCTTAATTAAGCTGTGCAAATCCTTTTTTATACTACCCGTATTGTAATAGAATTACGTTGTTGCTTGTTTGCTGCTAGAGTGGTCTACTGCTGCCCACCGAACTGCACGACCTATTCCTGCACAAACACACCCCGGAAAAGCAAACACTTCCATTTTCATCGGAACCGCGCAACTCCGTGAAGCAGCACATCGGCCAAACATCATTTAGCTGTAGAAGGCGCCTCTGACTGGTGTTCGGGGAAGTCCAGACCCCGCAAAGTGTCGTTTGCGGAGGACGACTGCGGTGGTTGGTATGCGGAAAATACACATATTGCTGCAATGATGAGAAATTCTCGTCTGGTAGCGCCGACGCGAACGCACGCTCATCACAGTCCAGCGGTGGACATTCTTCAGCGCGCCCACCAGAGAGTGGATGGTTTGCCGCGGCGGGAAATGGATTATGTAAATGCGGAGAGGCGGCGGGGCGCGGTCTCAAGAAGTGCGGCGCTGCGGTTGGCAGCTGGTTGCCGCGAAAGCGCCGTTAAGGTTGCGGATCTGACGCTTCCGGAGACAGTCTTCCTAGAGTAGGCTGAGATGCAGTCTACAGCAAGCTGCTCGAATAAGTCCCCTTTATTGTGTATGCTGACTATTGCTGAGATCCGCGCATATTGCGCTGAAAGCATTCTATCACAGATGCAGTTACAAATCACTTTATTGTATTGGTGTATTTTGTGAAATACTTGCGCTTCTGTTTTGTTTCAAGATCTGTCTTGCATCTGTGTTGTTACAACATTTGATAATCACGTTCTATATGTAACGGGCACAATGAGGATGGCACCGGAGCATTTTTTTGTTGAAAGGATCAGTTAAAAAGCCAATTGTGATTACGGGCTTGGCTGTTGACATTTTCTGACCAATATAGCTTGTTCGATAATTTAATAAACTTACTCGTACGTCAAAACGTCATTAACGTGGGGCGCTCACAGTAATTCTCTCCCCCGCACTTATCAGGATAGCGTACAGTACACTGGCATTGACTAAGGAGCACTTACAAAATTGCGAAAAATATCCTGCGCGGCGTTTTCGCTGAATCTGACTAGCACACGTAATTATTTCTACCATTTTGGTTGGACCTTGCTTACAATTTTTAATCAAACTAGACTTAATAATAGTTTTTGTTAATCTCGAAAAGAAACAGACAGTATTTTTTTTAATTTAATGCTAACAATACTTTAAAATCCGATTTGGCGATCAGCACTGGGCAAGGGCAAGGGTGACAAGCCTGGCGGCCGCCTGCAGGCGCTGACTAGACAGTCAAACACATTCGTTTGTACTGCGCTCCAGTGTTTGATCGGATCGCACTGTCAAGTCAGACCAGCAAAGTGTGAACTTTGAAATACATACGGAATTCCATTTTGTGCAAACTTCGTTAAATTGACTTTGTATAGAAACGATCTTTGTCACTAATACTCTGGCAAGTGATTCGCATGTCTGTAGATCCGCATGCCAGCGACCCTTCCATGGCTGCCAGCACGGAACGTCGTGGCGCTGCCAAACTGCTCGATGGTATGAAGCGCATGTTGGCCAAGGGAGAGTTCAGCGATGTGCACTTCGCAGTCGGACTCCCATCCGGTCCAGTGACACTGTTCCACGCGCACAAGTACTGCATTCCGAACTAATAATTACAGAGTAACAAGCGTGAAAGTTTGTCTGTAAAGCGAGCTCGTTTTGTAGGAATATTCTGAGCAACAGATCCGAAGTGTTCTACACCATGATGGCTAACAGCATGCCTGGAACTTCTCCGCTGGTTATTCACGTCCCAGACGTTCCTTCCGACGCGTTCGCCAATCTGCTCAGTTATGTGTACACTGATTCCGTGGAAAACATTCACACAGAGAACGTCTTTCCCACACTGTACGGCGCTGACAGATTTGGTTTGCCTTTGTTGGTGGATTTCTGCTGTGACTTCATCATCAAGCATCTGAATGCAGAAAATTGCCTGAACGCACTGGAAAATGTTCGTTGTATCCATCGTCACTGCATCGTCTTCGGTAAGCAGCATGTTTCTTCCACAGGCTAACCGGTGGAGCCCGGATTTTGATACGGTTGTGGAGAAACTGTGCACGCGGCATTGGACAAGTAAGCACGATTCAGCAGGTTGCTGAGAGTAATTAGTTATCGGAATTTCGGGGCTTTATCATTTACGGAGGGGCGTTTATAACCGCACGGTGGAGAAGAAACCGATTTCCACAGGAGCACAGGTCTCCTGAAAAGTGAAAGGGATTAATGCGGTAACTGCGTTATCATTCAGCCATGTGTTTTTAGCGACTATAATAATATTCTGTGAAAGCATCGCTCCAAAACAGCACTCGCACTGTGGTTTTTGATGTTGTACGTTGTGGAAGTGACCCGGATACATACCATCAAATCGGCCCATAATAATACTTTAGTACATCTCGATCAGGCTCGATGCATATAAACGTTTCGGGGTTCTTATTTCACCCTTAACTCCGCAACCGGATGGTGCTTGCACCAATGGATTTACGCAAACGCACGGTAGAGACCAACTGGTTAGTGGCAACAGAGTTTAGAATGCCATAAAACAATGATTTGGAAGTGCGGAAAAATGGGAGTTATTATCCATTAACCCGATTTTGGTGCTATGTATCTGGGTCACTTCCCTTAAAGCTCCCGCTTATTGCTGCAGGTGGGCGCTGAAGACTTGTCAGGACCGCAACTTGGAGCCGTCCGCCGACAACCGACGCGAAGTGCTGGGGCCGCTGCTGTTCCTCGTCCGCTTACGTATTGCTGATTTACCCGCTGAGCCGCTCAAGGTTTAAATAAGTTTGCATTCGTAGATGACGCCATGGGTTTTCGCTCGTTGTTGAAAGAGCATAGTAATAGTATCATCTTATTAACAGAATATGTGTTGGCTGATAGGGTGCGCTTTCGGGGCCAAACAAGTTTCCACCGAAGGAGCCGCGCTATTTCCAGCACCGCATCGGCCCCGACGTGTACCGGCACCGCGAAGCGGTCTTCGCACCCAGCTGCAGCGGTGACTGGAATCCCGCGGAAGTGGTGGACACGGCGCGCGGGGACATTGTCGTCCGGTGGTGCCGACACGGGCACCGGTCCGGCAAAGGGCCGCGGGAGGTGGTGCGAGCGGCGGATATTCTGCAGCGCGGCCAGCTGGTGCAGTGCTGGGGGGACACGGCCACGTACTGTATGCGACGTGGTGGGAAGCACCTGGTGGAGGGGATCGACGGCCGGGAGATGGCGGTGAATTTTGCTGACCTGATGATTCTTGACACAGTTGTCTCTGAGTGTAAGGCAACTAACCAACAGCTGCGCGGATGAGTCCCCTCTATCGCGTAACCGGGGATCGGAAATGTGCGCAGCATGCTTATGTTTTATACTAATACCTGTATTTCTATGCTATTTTACATAAATCTCGTATAGAACCACGGTAGCGTAACTTGCGTTTAATGGTGACAGACTGACCAGTGAAATTCTCGTCCTGGAATGATTTAGTCATAGTGTTGCTTTTTTCATTAAACGGGCTCGGTGCGGATGTTATGTTATGACAGCCGGATGTTCTGTTACGAATTCTAACTATTGTATACTGTAATTGAAAATGCGTAATTATCGGATTTTCTGTCATAATGCTCTGAGGAATTGTTGCTTCAGATTGCTACGTGTTTTCTGTGCATTACCATCGCCGGATGAAGACGTAATACGAGTACTACTGTAAGTCGTATGCAGCGGATTAAGATAATTCGAGTACTTATTAAACGCAATGCTGACTGCTAATCTAATGATGAGAGGAGTTTTTCTGTCATTTCCGGTTAGCGTAGTTAGTAATGCACATCATACATAAACTTCCGCCTTCCGGCGCATTTGTACACCGCACCGCCACCTCCGATCGGCAAGGCTTGCTTCCCATACTAATATTGCAGGCAGCATCGGAACGGCTGGCAGCCAGCCAGTGAATGAACGCTGGTCTACACACGTACTAAACTGCAGTCACAGGCGGTCGCTCAGGGTGCATACTTGAGAAACCAGAGCCATCTTTGGGGCAGCGGTTTGTTTGAACGCTACGCTTCCGGTGCAAGCATCACACTCCTTGCGACTACGCATCAGTGCTCAGTTACTTATTTTTCTGGTAGAGTTCGATGCGTTTTATATTTTTGAGAACTTTATGTTAACTTTGCCCGTGATTCGTGAATGTATCCCATGTCTGGAAAATGTTTCTCTCATTAGATGCTTTATTGTGCACGACACTTCTTTGCTGTAATTTTCGGATGCGAGTGTCTGACGCAAGAAGGATTACGCATTGCATTCCATATCATCATCGACCATTCCTGTCTTTTGCTTGAATTGGGCGCTGTTTCCGACAATCAACGACAATCAGCTTTCATCCAGTAAGAAGTTGAATTGATATTTCTTGGCAACCGATTTCAAAATGTGCCTAAACTCGCCACCGGAGACCAGTGAGGCTCCTGCCATCACTGTCAGCACAGAACGCCGTGGAACTGTTGGAGTGCTGGATCGCATGAAGCGCATGTTAGCCAACGGAGAACTCAGTGATATACAATTCACAGTTGGGCGCAAATTTGGTCCCGTGAAAATATTCCCAGCGCACAAGTACGTAAGATTATCACAAGTTGACATCGGAAAAACTACCCTAACGGTGGATTATGCATGAATCATGATGACTGCAAATTGCAGGCCCCCTGAGTTCTGAGCGCTGTGTATTTGCAGGAGTATTTTATGCAACAGCAGCGATGTGTTCTGCAGCATGATCTGCAACAGCGTGCCTGAATCGTGTCCGCTGAATATTCACTTCCCCGACATTCCTTCCGACGCGTTCGCCAATCTGCTCAATTATGTTTACACTGATTCGGTGGAAGGCATCAGTGCAGACAATGTCTTCTCAACTCTGCACTGCGCTGACAAATTTGATTTGCCTTTATTGGCGAATACATGCTGCGAATATTTCATCAAACATCTGAATTCAGAGAGCTGCCTGACCACGCTGGAAAATGTTCGTTCCCTATCCCGTAAAATATAGATTTACCAGCAATTAATGGTATGTATTGTTCCAGGCCATCCGTTGGAGCCCTGAGCTCGACAGGATCGTGGAGAAATGCCTGGATATCGTCGACGCATCGACCGCTGATATTCTGCGATCGGAGCAGTTCAGTAGTATTAGCCACGACTGCCTGCAGATGATTCTTCAGCGTTCGACCCTGTCCGCTGATGAGAATGCCGTGTACATTGCAGCTGACAAGTAAGGAGGTTTCACTGTTCAGAAAATGTGATTTAAATGCTTGTTGGGCGAACTAACTTATACATCTTGTTTGGTGAAACAGCTGGGCTGTGAGAACATGCATGGAACGCAACTTGGAACCGACCGCTGTCAACCAGCGCGAAGTGCTCGGTGCTGCGCTTTTTCTCATCCGTTTTCCGGTATTAACCGATATCCAGCTCGCATTTGGGCCGATCCAGGTAAATTTAACTTACATCTTTTTGCTGTCCGCGGTTTAGCGCTGTGATCAACAGCAGACCAAAACTCAGCACTGGTGGATTTCCGGTGACCGGAAGTAGTTTTTTGTCCTGAATTTTCTTGCATAAATTTGTAAAAAGTGCTTCGACAGTACTTCCACGATATTTCAATTCTGGGCTTCATTAAGACGAAATTTTCCTAACTGCGTGCACATCGAAAAGACCTGAGAATTTTGTGAATCTTGTGTATTGTGACTGTCATGTATTATGTAATACTCGTACACTTTAATAATTAATATGACTTGTACAGTACAGTACGCCAGCTCGCCAGAATCATACTGATTGTAAACATTGCATTAATTTTATGACATAACTTCATAATCTGTCTACTTAGCAACAATACACCACAGTGACAAATTGTGTCCGACAGTCGGTTTTGAACGACAATTACGTACAGTTTTATCACTTTATCAGTTTTTGAAATCTTTTTCGTGCCGTGTAAATACGGAGACATTTACTGATTAATGATGTCTGGAATGCGAAGGTATATTGTGCTAGTTAGTGTCCAGAATGCGAAAAACATCTACATCCTGGCGGTTTGTATTTCAGAGTGGGCTCCTCTTGCCAACGGAACTGCGCGACATCTTTCTGTACAAACACGGATCGCAGCCGCCCGCACTCGCGTTCCCAACGGAACCGCGCAACCACCTCCAGCACCGCATCGGCCTGTACGTGTACAAACACCGGGAAGCCGTCTTCGCTCAGACCAGCACCGGTGACTGGATTCCGGGGGAAGTGCTGCAGACCGTGGGAAGCGAAGTTGTTACCCAGTTGTACCGACAGGGAGACACGCGGGTCATCAAAAAGCACCGGCAGATTGTGCGTGCTGCGGACATTCTCCAGCGTTGCCAGCGGGTCCAGTGCTTGGGGAGTGCAGCTAAATACTGTATACGGCGCGGCGGTAAGCACATGGTCGAGGTCGACGGCCGGGAGGTGGCGGTTGAGTTTGCCGATCTGATGATCCCCGAGAAGGTGTTCTTGGAGTGGTATGCAGCCAACTGGAGGTTCCTCGAGTACATTATCTAATCCGAGATACCAGGATCGTCACCGCCACAAGTCAATTTTTGTTTGTAATAATTAAACACACTTTTGTTGGCGTTTCTTCACGTACGCCTTACGAGTATTAGATGAGCGCGCCGACAGCCTGGGGCAGATGAAACTGCTTCGAAATTTACTCGTATCTGTTGTATTGTAAATATCGGTATTACTGCTGTGTTGCCCAGAAAATTGTTGCTTCGACGGTTTACGTATTCGCTTTCTGTACAGTTATGTTCATTGTCCTGGCCAATAAATGGTTGCTCATTTGACTACAGTAAAAAAACTTTGTGGAAACGCTATCGTAATAAGTTCATAACCTTGGACTTGATAATCTGCAGCTTCAGTTAAGCGGAACCGGAAACAATTCATCAGGCATGTAGACCAGACAACGCAATCTACCGTCTGCGTTTTGGCCACGAAATCATTACGAAAGAATAGTAAGAGAAATAAGCGTAATAAGGTTTGACTACTGACCGGTCGTTGAGCTGGTTTATATGATAATTAACACTCTAAAAGAAATTTTCTTTTAAAGCTTTTTTGTTAAAGCGATTAGTATTTTTCGCAGCTCCCATCACGGGACTGAACCCGCCATCTCAGACATTGCAAGGCATGGTGACCGCCTGCAGGCGGCAGGAAAACTAGCCGATTATGATCAAAGAAGCCGCATTAACCTTTTTGCCGGACCAGTGGCGGCATTCCGTGATCTCACAATGATTCATGGCCATTGTACCGTATCAACCAAGTTACCAACAACTATCTGCCGGCTGCAACCACCTGCAACCGCCTGCCAGAAGTACTCGCTGAATTTGCACCATAGCGTTTTGGCTGCATCGTTGACTTATTTTTACTGGCAGATAAAAGTTTGCTTGTTTTTCTGAAAATCTCGTTCGCGTAGCAATCCAGGATTTTGTCTAAAATCACCGTTTGAATTGGTAAATTTTCTGTGACAACAGATGCCACCATGTGCCTTAATCCGTCTTCGGATGCCAGCGGTATGAAAACCATCACTGGCAGCAGGAAGCATCGTGGCTGTGTTGGAGCGCTTTCAGATCGCATGAAACACTTGTTGGTCAGTGGAGAGTTCAGCGATTTGCAGTTCGTCGTGGGACGTCGATTTGGGACAGTGAAAGTGTTCTCTGCGCACAAGTACGGAGTAACCGGTTAATTATCACCTGAGAGACCTAATTTTAATACGATACAGAAATTAGTATCAGTTTTAGATTACGAAATTGGGCCAATAGGTTCGACGTGAAATAACCGCGATTTGTGCAGGAGTATTCTGTGCAACAGTAGCCACGTGTTCTGCAGCATGATCTGCAACAGCGTGGCTGAATCTTTTCCGCTGGTTATTCACTTTCCTGACATTCCTTCCGACGCGTTCGCCAACCTGCTCAATTATGTGTACGTGGATTCGGTGGAAGGCATCAACGAAGCAAACATCTTCCCAACGCTGCACTGTGCTGACAAGTTCGCTTTGCCGTTGCTGGTGGATGCCTGCTGCGAGTGCATCATCAGCTGCGTTACTAAAGAAAACTGCCTAACTATGCTGGAAAATGTTGGTTCCTCACAGATAGTGTACAATGCATTTCAAACAGCATAACGTTCGATTCGTGCTTTTTGCTGCAGGTGAATTGCTGGACCCCAGACTTGGACAACATTGTGGAGAAGTGTATGGACGTTGTCGATGAATTTGCCGACGCCATACTGCGTTCGGAGCAGTTCAGCAGCATTAGTCACGGACTCACGGCAGCCTGTAAATGATTCTTCAACGTTCCTCTTTCAGGCTCTTTGGCTGTTGAAGAGAATGTCGTCTACGTGGCTGTCGAAAAGTAAGCGAACTTGTACGCAATAAGTCATTTGTTCAGCAGTACATATATACAGTTTGTGCTGAGCAGCATGTTTGCTTTCCTGCCTTTCCTTTAGGTGGTCGACGGAGGCTTGTAAGAAGCGGAACTTGGAACTGTCCACCGCCAACCGTCGCGAAATGTTGGAAGCGGCGCTCTTCCTTGTCCGCTTCCCGTTACTCAACGACATTGAGCTCGCTGTTGGTCCTGTTCAGGTAATCTAACCGTGCTGACAAAATAACGATGATGGCCTCGTTCCTTCAGTGTAGTGTTAAAATAAGTATCATGGAGTATTTGCTCGTAGAGTGCTTTACTGCTTTCAACGGAGCTGCGTGACCTGTTCCTTTATAAGCACGCTCCGGAAAAGCCGGCTCTGCCGTTCCCGACGGAGCCGCGTCGCTTCATCCAGCACAACCTCGATCTGGATGCGTACAAGTATCGCGAAGCGGTGTTCGCACAAGGTTATAAAGGGAGCTCAAAATGGTATCCGGCCGAGGTGATTATGGAACTGGATTGGCAAAATATTATCATCCAGTGGTGCGGACAAGGAAAAGGGAATACGTTCAAATCGATGTGGGGGATTGTGCGTGCGTCCGATATTCTCCAGCGTGGCCAGCGGGTGCGCTGCTTGATGGGAGAGGCGACGTACTGTATGCGGCGCGGCGGTAAGCACGTGGTGGAGGTCAACGGTCAGGAAGTAGCGGTTGATTTTGCCGATCTGATAGTGCCCAGGAATGTGTGGCTGCAGTGGAAGACAGCCAAGGACACTGCGGAAATGCAATAACGCCACTGCTGACACAAGTGTCAAGCGATATGTATTTAGTTTTGTTAGTATTTTTTTTGTACGATTATTTCGTAATTGATAGTGAGATCCGTCTCGGGAATAACTCTTATGTCTAGCAAGACGCGTTATTCTTTACCGGCTCGGTTGATCGAGGCGGAAGCCAAAAAGCCGTTTTGTTCCTGAGTACATGCTTATTTCATGTTGGGAATCGCTATTTTGTTGTTTCTGGGTCACTGTTCTATCTCCATAAGGATTTCTATTGAAAAGTATTGGGTTTCTTTCATCTCGAGCATGGCAAATTTTCACTTCCATAAAGCCGCGAAATGACAGCAAACGTTATCGGTTGAAGTAACGGCAGTGCGGTGCACCTTACATTTAAAGTTAAGGATTCTCCGACATTCAAACCAGCCTTAAATACCCTCAATTCGGGTTGGTTTTTGTGTTCAGATTCTGTACTTACGGTTATCGTATGCACGAATACGCATGCGACAGAATGCGTATATTTTAGAACTGCGCTCAGTGCGTTAAGCACGTACCGCGACATTTCGCCGCGGACATTTTGCCGCGGGACAACTCGCCGTGGACATTTCGTTTTACGGACAACTCGACGTGAGACATTACGTTTTGGGACTTTTGGTTTAATAGACAACTGGTCGCAAGGTCACTTTGTTTTGAGAAATATGGCCGTTGGGACAATCCGACGCACGGACAATACGTTTTGGGAACTCTCGTTTTGTGACAACTAGCCGCGGTACATTTCGTCGCACTTTATACAAGAAAATACGCAAATCCAAACAAGTTCGCAGGCTAAAAAAAACTGAAATTTTCATAAATCAGTCAGACAATAACTTACAGAGATCTGTAACAAATTAAGCACAATAATCGTAAGTCGTGCGCATTTTGTTTACAATTTGCTTTATTGATCAATGATCACCAGTTACATTCATGATTCAGGAACAAACATCGCTTAGAAAAAAGGCTTCCTATGGACACTTTCAGTTATACTCAGCTCTTTGTAGATTACCGGTTTTTAGGGTGTACAGATATTTGACAAGAAACCCAGGAAAATATGACAACTTTTTGCCTGATCGGCTAAGTATTTAGAAATTTCGAAGATATCTCCCAAATCATCGTGAAAATGGGCAAGGTTTTTGGGCGCTCGAAACTAGGCTGTGATAAAAGATTAACTAATGCGATTTTGGTATAAAGAAACCAGCCAACAGATTCGAAGTTTAACTTGCTCTGAGAGTTCGAAAAATCCCGAGACTTCGTTTGAGATACCGAATGTCCATAACTTTGCATGCAGTCTCAAACATCGAACTCAAGTAAAAAGTTATCTTAAACGTTAAGTAAAATGTTCCATGAGCACCCCCGAGTTCGTGGAATCCTCCGAATTTGACTCTCGTATGGATTGTCCAAGGCCTATCCTGTTGCGGCGGTCGGCATTTCCACAAAACATGGCGAATGATCCAAATCATCCCGTGAACTGTTTGCGGTGTGCACATCAAGAATGATGACTACAGTCCTGCAGCAGTTTTTCGTCAGCAGTTCTTCGCTAAGAACTTTGATCTTCAGTTCTGCATCACCCATTATGGTGGTTTCTGCGCTCAGTTGTTTGTGAGATTCTCATGCATAGTGATCTTGCAGCGATTGGCAAACGTTGTAAAATTGTGATTCTGTTACGAACTTGCACGAAGGTGTCAGTATCTGGCATCTGCTATCTGTTAGTTGCTGCCTGTGTTGTACGTTATTGAGAACAGAAGGGTATCGCTCCGTGTTGCTGCAGGCATGTCGAAAGCAGCGCCACGCTCGACAAAAGCAAAAGCTAGCATCCCACGACGGGGCCAGATTGACGGGGTCCTCAAGCGGTTGGAACGCATGTTGGAGAGCGGAGATCTCAGCGACGTGCAGTTCTCCATAGGACGGGATGTCGGACCAGCGAAAATCTTCAAAGCACACAAGTGAGCTGACTGAGCTCACAAGCCGTTTCCACTTAAACCCCGTACTACTGCGAATTGTATGAATGCGATCCTTTGCTGGTCCGTACTTTTGAACAGGTTCGTGCTGAGCAGCGCCAGCGATGTGTTTTACACTATGTTTAACGGGAGCCTTCCGGAGAACCGCAGCGGTCCCATAGATATTCCGGATATCCCTTTTCAAGCCTTCGAAAATATGCTCAAGTAAGTATGACTTCGACATCTGTCGCAGTTAAGAACCCGTCCAGAATTAAAGTGTCAACGAACCAGCGCAGAAGCTGGTTTGTCTGAAACTAGGTTTTCCGTGGGTAAAAGTTAAGGATGTGTATTGCGACAGGTACGTCTATACTAACGAGAAGCAGGTGACATTGGATGATGTCTATCCGACAATGCAATGTGCCGACAAGTACGATTTGCCACTGCTGGCTGACTTCTGCCTTAATTATATCATGCAAAATCTCATCGCGGACCGCGGCAGTACCGTCCGATACCTCCTGCATCTGGAACATGTACATGTCTGCTCTTGTTCATGCCTTGCACTTCACAGTAGTCTCCCGGCTTGACCTTTACGGTATTTGATTTTTGTGCAGGCACTGACCTGGGCTGTTGGATTCGAAAGTGTCACAGAAAACTGTCTGCATTACGTGGATGTGCACTGCAAGGAACTCTTCCAAACAGAACAATTCAGTGAACTACAGCCCAGCACGCTGCGTACTATTTTGGAACGTGACACGCTATTTGCCGACGAGAACCTCATTTGTATGGCTGTGGATCGGTAAGGTCTACCCGTAGCTACAGACAGATTGCAGACGTGTTTAAAACCTGGGACCCATGCAACTGGCGAACGAAGGCCGTGCTGTTTTCGCAGATGGGCAGTGACTGCTTGTACTCGGAGCAATTTGGAGCCCACACCCGCTAACCGGCGCGAGGCCCTGGGCGAACTGTTTTACTTGATCCGCTTCCCAGTCATGACGGTCATGCAAGTGGCCGACTTACCTGCAGATGTAAGAATGTACTTGTTTTTGCTGGATCTTTGCCGATGATCCAGCCAAGCTCGAGAACTAAGAAATTTCGCTGACTTATGTGTAAATTAACTAAGTCGTGCAGAGTTATGGGACGAGTAACTGTAAGGCCTCGTCCCGAATTCAAAGCGAATCTCGTTGCGATACAGCAACTCCACCTCGCGAGGTGGCTTCGCGTACCGTATCTGTAGGCGTGGCCACTGCATACAGCCACCTCGTGCGGTTGAGCAACCGTACCATAGCGAGATTCGCATCGAATTCGGGACAAGGCCTAAGATTACTGCGTTTCGGTTGTGCATCACAGGTAAATGTTTAAATAACGTTGGTTTGTGTATAGAATGGATTGTTGGAGGCATCGGCGTTAATGGAGATGCGGCACCACAAACACCGCTTCCCCACCCATCCCCGCCGGTCCCCGGTCATTCGTGTCGGAGGCATGGGCTTCCGGCACAAGGAAGAGATCTTCATCAAACGGCAGCCAAACTGGCGCCCGGCTGTTGTGATCGGAACACGAGGATCATCAGTCTTCGTTCGCTCTAAAAACAGCAGTCAGGTCTACCTCGTGCCGACAAAGAACTTAATCAGAGCTTCGGATATCTTAACTGCCAATCAGCACGTTCGCACCCCGATTCCCGGTAGTAAGGGTCGTTATAAGGAGGCTCGATATGTCAGGTTGGACGGGGATTACCACATTATTAAAGTGGGCCGCAAAGAACAGAAAGTTAAGTTCCGTCAAGTTTTCGTGGAACATGATCGAGTAGAAACGTGGAAAAAAGCCAATGACCAGGGCAGCAACCGGAAGACAACTGCCCCATCAACGAGAAAGCGCACACGGGATGCCGCTTGACTTGCCTGAACTCTTGACTGGGACGCCACTATGCACACCGAGCGTTGGTACGTCATTTTCTGACTTCTAAAATAATAACAGTGGTGTTTCTCAAGTGAATGCGTGGAGAAACGTCTTTGACATTGTACATGGTTTCAGAACTCAAAGTAGTTAAACAATTGTCATGATATCGGAATAGTATTTTGTCTTATGCTTAACAAATTTGGTTGATGGGATACTGTACGATCAGTAAAATTTCGTTGTGTTCAGAAGAAGTCAAGAAAACTCAGGTGATCAAGGCGTGCGCTAAATCATCACGGAAAAGAATCACAGTGTATTTTTGGTACTCGTAAAGCTCTGATCTGAAGAATTTCCAACTTGAAATACAAAAACAATTTTTGAATAAAAATTTTGAAGACATCGTCTTTTACAATCGAACGACGAGTCAGGAATCCGGCGCGGCGTTCAGGTGGCGCGAGTTACTTCTTATTAGCCGCGTGGCTTGTCTGCAAGCTGAAAAATTGCCTGTGTAGCAAGGAAGCGTCCTGCCGATTTCCATGTTTCCGCTTGAGATACTCAAAGCGCTTGTTTCACAGTAGCGTAACAGCGTTAAGCGTTTTTGAACACTTTTCTTTGCAATTGCTGTACAAGTAAAGAATTTTTCGCAGTAAAACACAATGTTTTTTTTGCATTTAGATGTATTTTGACCGAAGGAAAATTAACTCAACTGGATGACCTTTGCGAGGCTTACCATACAAGCGCACGCAGGCCGACTGGCCATTGAAACTCGTCCAGGTTATAATGTTTTACAATCGAAAGCGCTTTGATGACACTAGACTGGTAATTATAAAATATGGCAAACAAACACGTCGGCCCCCGCTGGTGTCGCAGTGATCTACGGCTCGCAGATTCTGAAAAAAAAATTGCTTTCTCGGATGAAGCTTAATTATGTGTTCGATCGGCAATTACCTTTTTGACAGTTTAATTTAAATGGAATCGGGCACGGGAAGTCGTGGGGTGAAGATATCACACCGAGTATGCCTCAGAATGGCAGTTAATTTTATGCAGTTGTAATTACAAAAACTTGCATTTGAATGGTCTGTCTTCGATCCTTCACCCAACAGACAATGAATAGGCGGACTTGAATCTTGCGAAACATTCAGGGCGCTCGTCTGAATGACAGTTGAAGGACATGGCAGCCACCGTGAAGCAGCGTTTTGTCCGTATGTATTGCTTCCGGTGCTAATCTCCAGCGCACCTGCTTTAAATACTACACAGTACACACACTCATTCCACCTGGCCACAGATAAAATATAAGATTCATTCATAACTTATACATAATCCTTTTCTCACATTTCTGAAATTTTGTATGGCTCAGAATTCCACTGGATTGGGATTCGATTTTGCGTTTTATGGCAAGAGATTCCACCATGTGTCTAAACCTACCACCGGAGACCAGTGAGGCTCCTGCCATTACTGT